GCTATAACTAGACTTAGAATTTCCTGTCATCCCCTAGAAATTGAAAATGGTAGAACATTGGGTATTCCACGTGACCAAAGATTATGTCCATTTGGTTGCAGGGTCACAGAGGACGAATATCATTTTACTATGGTTTGTCCAAAATATGAAGCACTTAGACAAAAATTCTTACCAAAATATTATTTTTCACCACCAACCAAGATAAAATTCATTGCATTGCTACAGAGTACTAACTCGTTTATTTTACTAAGTTTGGGTAAATATTTGTTTAAGAGTTTTCATTACAGAGAAACTGAAATGGAAGTATGATTTGAAGTATATGTATCTTGTAATTTTAAAGCGACCGTGTGTAATTTAAGTTTTGAAATGTAACAGTACTTTAGGCCGGTGGCCATATAGTGCGGAATAAAGAAATAAAAAATAAAAAAAACAAAAACATGCAAGCTAAAAATACATGTTTTACAGTATGTAGCATCCGATGTTTACATGATATTACCAATCCTTTTTCCACTTCCTTGTGATCATACTCACATACATGCAAACCCGGGATTTTGGTTGTAATTAATCACTGTACCATCGCTCAAGGAGTTGTAATATACTAGTAGTCAGTAGAAATTAAACGTTCAATGGTTTTCAATAGACTTTATTCGCATAATGGCCGTCGATATCACGCAAAATGCGAGAAATTTTATAGCCCCTCTCCCCAAACAATTTGTTTCAGACATATCACTTTGTTACGGAGTTCTACAACTCTGTTAAGAAACTGTTTAACACACAAACTTGTAACAAGGAACTTGTAACTATTTATTATCAAAACAAATTTCCCCCTGGAAATCGTGAGGTATATCGGACAATAACGTTAGGAGTTATAATAATGATGAAGTTTTTTTATGCCAAACATCCTGCTTCAATCTTACTCTAGAAGCGTATTCGAATAGCCATTGAAATTAACAACTACAAATTACCTATGAAACATTCACCCATGAAGATTCGTCTTCATGTTTTCGTGCTTCGACAATTGTTTTCACCCTCTTTACAAATAAATTTTGGTAAGTTATAGTATGATGTTTCAATATAGCACCAACGGATTAAACCCGAAACAGCGAGCAGCGAGATTTTGCCCTGACTGTAATCGAACCTGTCTCAATACTATACAGAATGTATATTTCTTAATATGTATATATTTTTCACAGGAATATAGCCACAGATTCAATGAAAGAAGTTATTGTACACGCATAAACTGGTTTTGAGTGTAGCAATTAGATAATGGAATTGTGAATGTGTGCACAGACTGTCTTTATCGTCATTGAGCTTCTAAGAATCCAAGGAGAACTCGTTTACATGACTTAAAAGTACAACGCCATATACGTGCATTTGTTACCCAATAGTTTATTTTCCCATCTGTGTTTTAACCGCAGGAATGTTGTCGTCTTCAGACTGAATGCAATTATGTTTATCTTAGTGTAGAATTGACCTGAACAGAACCGCTTGCTTACGTCATGACTAGAACGTCAAGCACGAAACACGTGACCAGATTGCCAGGATGCTTACTATTTCACACATTGAAAGCATGCGTGTACCAGGACTGAATAAATTAAACTCGTACTGAAGCGTATTTATGTAGGACCTCCACTTCATTTAACATCGTATACATACATGTTGTGGCTTTTTTGAAGATGAAAAACGCCGGTCACAGACTACGTTGACTATTTACATGATGATAACTGGTTGAACTAAACATTCAACAGCGGCCAATAAATATGGCTATATTCGAAATTTCGTTTTTTTCAAGAATACATTACCGATGTTTTGTATTCGTAGCACAGTATGGATAGTGACTTGGCTGTCGTTCGTGGCATTATATTACAGTTTGTTTAGTAAATGAAAACATGACACTGTACCAAGTTGATGCATGTAGTGTTTATTTTTGCGAGGGGTTGTGACTATAGATTGCCTATTTCTATTCGAAATTCAATTATGAACATCTGACGAACGCTTACTTAAAATCAACATTGATATTCAAACACAATTTGTTGAAAAAGAATATATATTATTAAATGTTTAAGTAAACGACCTCATCAATATACAGTGTTCTGGACATTCGATTGTTTGTTTTACCCAACATAACAGACTCGCGAACACCTGATAGACATGAAGTAGTTTGTTGGCAACTAAAGACTATGCCAGACGCTTATTCAACGAACTGATAGAGACGCCTTTCATCAGGACAGATCATTTGGTAACTGACGTGATTCAGAAATCTCCATTGACTCTAACTATGTTGTCAAACATCAAACTTACGTGCGTTATCACACACGTCTCTGGCAAATATAACGACGCTAGATAGACCAAAGATACGTGGCGAAAAGATACTTTTCTGAAATGTGGATTGGATTTACCAATTTAGCTGGAATGCACAAGTTAGGAAGGAACATTTTTCACCAAACAAGTGATATGTTGAATCACCTAACAGAATTAAATAATCCGAATTGATAACAGTGTATAGACACGTATGATACCATAAGCATCTTATTATTCCCATAAAATTGCCACCCATCTGCTTCCTGTTTTCTCGAAGAAAAGATAAAAATATTTCACTGTCAGTGAAAAAAAGTTCCATAAAAGCGTAGGGTATCTAGATATGTTGTTCTTTGACATCATAATACCGAGTGTCCTGGGCTCCTAGTATTCTCTGCCCGCTTCATGCATAGCTCAAATTACAACACCGTTAAATGTTACATGAAATTAAGTTTGAAAAGCCTATATTTGTATATTTTTCACAAATATTTCACATTTGTAGTGACACCTCGATAGTTGGGGTGTGAATTCCAATTTTCAAATTCTCCTCTATCACTATGTCACATTCACGTATGAGTGGAGCTGCAAAATAATATGCAATCTAATTACATATGCCGTGTAGTTGACTATTTCGTTACAATATTGTGTTTTATAGATGTCAACTGGATGCGAATTTCAGCTGAATCCATATCGGTATTTCAGTCTTAATACAGACAGACAGTAAATTCTCCAGGTCGCCATCACTCGTGTAATGACTGACCCAAATGGCGTCTTGACTAAAGCCGAGCAACTTAGTGTGTCCCTGTATACATTCATTCATACAGACAAGCAATGACACCACTTCTTACTAACCTATTGATATTAAGACATGGGCGAACAACGCTCACAGTGTTCTTTGCAAACAGAGTGACATAAAAAAGAGTTCATAGAAGGTCATTTGATGTCTATGCTGATGGATTGGTAAGAATAAATGGCCTGTGTCCATTCACTATAAGTGTCAATACATGTGTATAGTCACGCAAGCTCATCCCGTCAGATTTTGTCATTTAAAGTTTCGCTGCATTATATAGTTTGTTATATTTGCTGAAAGCATGAAGTTTTAATTTTACCCCGATTTATTTTGTCCTACGTGTGACAATTTAGCGCCCTAGCACGCATCGCAGATACGAATTCTTGTCGGGTCTAGTCTGTTAAGGTATATACTAGGAATATAATACAAAGTGATTACGCATGCACTGTCGTCATTACCACCACCCACCCACTCAACACAATAATCTTATCTTGATAAATTGTTACTTAGTATTACATATTATTTATGTTTTCGCGTCACACTTGGGTTACAGTGATAAAATCCATTGCCTAGTTGCTATGGAGAAATAGTGTCACATGTTGGCATATTTCATTTTATACCAACGCAGAATATGTCCTATAACGCTCATGTAACTAAAATTATTAAGAATTATTATCTCAGTTACCGTAAATTGACTTGACTTTTTCTAACAAAAAAAATGTTGCGGAGTTATTTATAATTTAAAATATACAAATATGCAACAGTTCTCAAAATAGTTCACCTTCTCAGTCACAGACTTGACTTGATATATTCCCCATGTGCAAATTATTCGAATGGAATATATTTGAACACTAGTGAATATAATAAATCACGTTCATGTCTGGAATAATAAATGGTGGTAACGTTTGTTTGATTCACGAGTGCACAAATGCCGCGTTGGAAGCCAGACTACATTATAGACTTTGTACTGATTGACCTTCGTACTAGAGGAGTAATGCGCTCTATAGAAATGCCCCCAGCATGATATCAAGTCGTGGTATTCCGATAACTTACCCGTTTCTTTCACCAGTGCTACTGATAACAACATGGCTACTGCTAGCCGCAGAAATAACGATTCCCCACCGCACACGTCCATGATTCGAAGTATCTAAGGACACAATCCGAAACAAGTCAACCGTAATATGCGAAGCCGATTTCACCAGACAGTCGCATTCGTGGCAGATGTACGTAGGAAGTAACTGCAGACAAATACCGCTCCAAATGTTCCAAGACTTTCAAAACATCCGTTCATAAACACCCATGGTGCAGCGACAGGAAGTGTCTCAGTAGTCAGAGTTATTGTGTGAGTTTCTCGTAAAAGGGATGTCGGGTACGCATAAACACACAGATCGTGAAGGAACAGTGCCAGACAACACGAGTCGCGGTATCGCTACTCCCGCGAAGCCAGGCTACTCTTGTTTACAGTGGCGTGTATCATATCATAAACGCACCGGCCAGTCACGTCTGACGTCGACACTGTTTTCAGCCCGCGGACACATCGACTCATTGATTGCATTAAAGACCGCCGTATTTATAATTAGCATGGGAGAAGTGGAAACAGCGTTTAGCTATCAACTTTTAGCGATAATTAGAGTCATAATTTTTAGAGTGTAATTAGAGTTATTTGGATGCTAATTTTGAACTCAACTCTAAGAACGATTCACATTTACATCGTGGTTATTTTAATCTCTTTTTGCAGACTGCTTCTTAATACAAATAGTAAACCAGCATGTTTTGATAGACCAGGTGACGACATCGTAAATATACGTCTCCATTAAATTAACATAAATTATTATGACAAAAGACGAACCTGAAAGACGGCATATTCTGCTTACCAGTCTAGAGTATAATTGGTGAACTAAACAGCATTTTTGTGTTCTGTTGCCATCGGTCATGAATGTTCGTACCAATGGATGGTTAATATTTTACAGAAGTGATAAAGTGATACAATCCACTGATATACTAGACATGTTGTTTTCTATGCTTTTTTTAATTCGATACACTAGTTTTCTATTTCAGTCCACTCGGCTTAGTTAAGTCCCTGACAAGTTTGATGAGGTCTCAAACACATACATTGACTCATGATGGCGCTTTATAGCAGTACATCTGATATTCGCACGTTACTGTTTCCAGTAAAACTTGGCAGTTCTCTCAGTGTAAAAGAGAAAAAGATTTGAGAGCAAAATGCACTCTATACATTAAAGAAAAAGTCAATATTGAAAAATAATAATAAGTTCATTTCATCAGAAACGGCATATATTATGGTATTTGTGGGTTTCGGGCACAGAGCTGCCGTCAGTTTGTTTCGCCGCCAGCTCATAACCGCGACAGTATGGCTGCCTTAGTTCAACTCAGACGATCAAGTTACTAGTATTTAACGTCATTTATATACAAATTGGTTGTACATGACATAAACAGATTTTTACAGTGCTGTATAAAACTATGATACTAAAATGAAAACGTTGGAGAATTATATCCCCTATATTAAATCAGTGTACACATGCTCCTGATGGAGTCAACATGTACATTTGAAAATGGAAGAAAGAATTCACATGATTGTGACCAGTGTTCATACAACACATTAGTTATATTTTTCAAATGTCCCTTATAAATTATTTCTGATGTGACAAGGGCTACAGAACCTTGCTATCTATTTGAAATTATTGAACTTAACAAAAACAAATGTTTTACCGAGTTCACCTGTGATGGCGCTTTTCACAACATCTGAGTTCCTCTGTGATGACCTTTAACCCCAACCTGCCATCTTTTGTGTGTTTCTAGGAGAGTGATTTTATCAAAATAGTAATCCTTTACATCCCACTTGTTGAACTACTTGTATGAGTTGATAATGTGTTTCTCTTTGTTGACATGTAATTTTTGGAAGTTTATGATCATTCTTTTGTACCTTTTGAGATCGATAAACATTGTTGATGATCTTCCCATTGCTATGTATGGGCTGCCATGTTGCCAAATACTTTTTCTTGTTTTGATATGAATGATATGTATTAGAAACCCCACCTGCCATATTTTGTGTGTTTCTAGGGGTAGCTTCAGCGACGTAGAATTGGTTCATCGACCCACAATTGCAATCTCTGGCGGGTTATTGCATTTTCATGTATGAACACCCAAAATTATATACAACGCAAATCTCGCATGTCCGACTGACCGTCGAGAAGCCCTTCCACAAATGGTGACCCCGACTTGATTGTGGAATTACTGATGATTCAACGATGTTTTTGGTAATAGTTCTCAATGTTGACTGTTGCTGTTTCATATATGTTTGATGTCCAGTTTATGAAGTGCTAAAAACAAGAAAAGGGAAACTTATTTAAGAATCTTCGTTGTGTGCTTGCATTCCCTGGTATTGCCATGACGCAGTGACGCATAACTGAACCCTCGAATATGATTTACTGTGTACAGGAGCGTGGCATGGGTTGAGCATGAGGGGCAGCATGTGATGTGATGATGAATGGAATTAGAGCACGATGTTTATTTGTTACAGAATCTCAGATAACCACTTTTCCAAAAGTTGGACCCTCTTGTTGTCCTCATGTGATAGAGATGTCAATAATTTTGGCGCCACTAACAGTTAATTGACTAATATCATAAAGGATGGTGTTTGTTAATTAGTGATAGCTAGTATCATTTTTGTTTATAATAAATAATGCAAGTTCAAAGTGCAAAGTTATCAATTATATTAATTGTAAGTAGGATAGTAAGATTACATATGTACCATACCAGTAAAAATATTAATATACCATACCATTATTTTTATGAAAATGGGAATAAACCCAAAGTATCCCGTACATATGTTTAATGGGATAAATGTTTGTCTCTGCTAAAGTGTAGCTAAAATGTCAATTTGGTTTGTGTTTGATGTGGTATAGGTGTGCCAATTGTATTGTCCCACAACTACCAGTGTTCTTGATCGTGTTTCTAATAGATTTAATAATAAAGTCTGTACATTATTGAATAAATATATTGTTTGCACTCGTACTCTTTCTGTGTGTGTAATATATGAGTGCATGTACAAATATTATCAACAATTTATCTGCACCACCTATTCCCAGTGCATGCTCTGTACATACACTATGACCCTGTATACACATATATTATGCAAATTATTATTATGCAAATTTAGTTGGAATTTGACTTATTTTTTACAAAAATGTTTCACAACGCCAGTGCACTGTTTTGATCATTGGGTAGATAATTAACGCTCACACGGCTGTGAACGACTTGACGATTATGAAATGTTTCCCCGATAAAGATCTCCCTCTGGAATTTATGTCTTTCGTTTTCATCATTACTTTATCACTTCACAGGATACCAGGAACTATTTTGGTTCAGGCGGTTATGTTTAAAATTGCGTGGCTTATTTTTCTGAAATATTGAATTGTATTTATTAAGTCAATAATGATAAAGGTAAATCAACCTTGACTGAATTCGTAATCTCAGCTCTTAAGTAAGTAAGACAGTATTGTGGGTATGTATTTTTAAAAACAATTAAAACAACAATTTGGCATTTGCTCTTCACACTTTTATGTATATTCCTATGAAAAAACAATTAATTATTTTCTGCTCTTATGACATGTGCACAAGTTTTTGTTTACCCATGGTACAATGTATCATTTCTATTCATGGTTATTAGACATGACTATAACAAGCTGCTCAAGTAGGTGTGACGGACGATTAGCTCTTATTTTTGTCAATTGTAAATACCTGAAGATAAAATGTAAACAAATAAGAAGATTCTCCTAAAATTGGACTGAAATAACGGAAATTCGTATCTTCCATTTATGGCAATGTTTCAAATTATTTTGTTATTACTAACAAGAGATAATCTTATCGAAAGCACAGACTCACAATTGTACTGGTTTCTCCATTTTCGATTTGTTACAACAGTTTCTTAAAGTTTTCTAAATTCAAAATAGAGACTTGGTGAGTAACACTACGGTGTCACCGCTTGTTTTTCTGCTCGTCAAGAATATACGAACTTTAAAGTCGTGTTTTGTTTTTGTAAATTGTGAGAACAAGTTTTAAAATTATTCCCATGATGGAAACAATAACAAGAAAAAAAACACATAATTATACTTCATGGCGCGCTTTGTTTATAATGGCGTATTTTTGACAGATAGAGTAACAGTAGATATGCTATTAGCAAAAACTATAAATTAAAAAGTATTTCTCGGAAATGTCAGATCAAATTGTTTACAGCCATTCATTTTTTTTTTTTTTAGAAAAATGAGTGTCATATTACCTTAAAATTTAAGTAAAAGATGATATTCATCTAAATATTCCAACAACAAAAAAATACTCCGCACTTAAAAGTGATTTAAAGTGAAGTATAATATGTGATTTGAAGTGAAAAATGGATTGCATATGTTCTTTGTAGTAAATAGATAACAAAAAATCTCCAATTTTGTTATGTTCGATAAATGACTTATACAAATATATTTTTCAAGGCGCTCGCTCCCGGAAGTAGTAATTATTAGTAATTATTGGGGACATCAAACCATCAATTAAGTTGCGATGGGCGACGATGGTGTCATTGACTTAAATCTAAAGTCACATACATGTTGTCCAACTCAAACGCCTACAAAGAAGACGAATATAAAAACTAACATACAGATAAAAGTATCGTTCAATCTACAGTTGCCCAGATCTGCACGTCGCCGTGTTTTCACTTAATAAACCTTCACACATACAGCTGAGGTAATTAAATTCAAAAAAAGAAAAAAAAATATCAAGAAAGCCAATGTTAATAACATGATTTATTGTAATATATTAAATGTGTCTCAGAACTTGTGTCATTTTCATGATATTCAACTATTCAATTAATTATATGTGTACATTCACAGAACAGAAATTGAAATATATCTAAATAAATGTCGGTTAATGCATTATAGTCCTATTATACAGTATATGGTTATAAATGTCGTATAATCAGGACAGTTCAAACTGAAGGTCAATGTCACAATCCTTGGTCCATTCTTTATACAGTTCATTGAAATGCTCGTTGTCGGCGACAGTGAAGTACTCCTTCCATCCTCCAACCTTACCTGTGAATTGATATGTTGTACGTAAAGGAAATAGTTTTTAAAAACATGTCACTGCTAGTAAACGGCGTATGCTCCACTGCATGCTAACAATTTGTATTCAGGAGTTAGCCAGGCAAGCGTACACTGAGTGGCCTGTCAGTTTACACCGCTATAAAAACAGCAAATGTCAACATAGTAAAAATAATGACTGACATTAAATTAGCTATTCTGCTATTTTCGATTGATAACAATCTTTCCCATCATTTCTCGATCGAGTAATACAAACCCGAAATGTGTATTGGCGCCTTTCTCTATACCGCTGTCTCAAAATGTCCTCATTTCTATTTATGTATGTATGTATCTAATTCTATTTTGACTCTCAACAGCGGCGTTCGGTCTAGCAGTGTGGATAACAACTCGATGAATTCTGGCCGAGCGCCACTGTTAAAACTAAATAAAACACGTGGTCACTATGATGATCGATGTATTTGCTAAATGAAATCCAATTCGGAGACGGTAAGAACGTACATTAGTAAAATCGGCATAACCTACCTTTCCTAACGAATGGTGATGATTTTCCGGGGTCAACTTTCAACACATTGGAACAGTATTTGCTTTTAAGGGCCATCGGATTATTCTTCATGCTTTCAAAACAACAATGATGGGCGATTCTATCAACGGCATCGTCATCCAGCTTCGCTTCAAGAAAGCTTGCAATTTTACGAACGTTCCCCGCTAGGTCCTGGTGAAAGAAATTGAAACACAGACTTAAAGGTAGTTCTTTTCTAAGATACTCATTCTTGATCGTAACTACAGAGATTGTTGATTTCCTAACTACAAATCAGTATTAGTCGTGTTTTCGTTTGAAAAAAAATAAAACTTGTTTACCCGCTTCATGTTTTCATAAGTCAAGAATAATACATTACTCTCATGTCTTCGATTCCACCAGTGTAAAACATGATCTTTCCATAGTGTACCGTCATCTGGAGGATATACATAAAGAGTTAAAGCGCG